CGTTTTTAAATCTCTTGCAGTAACACTTGGTAGCTTTTAGCATAGTGGTCTTGGTCACATTTCTTAACATGTACTTATAAGTGCTTGGTTTTTTGATACCATGACAAATGGTCTAGTTCAACATTTTCACTGTTACTTATTCACTGATGATATATGGAAATCCAGGTTTTTTCCTATTTGAATCACTTTCACTCACTGAGCCAGTCTTTAACGAATGCACACCTTTTCAGGCTGTGAACTACTGCAGGGGAGCAGGGGCTGTGGCGCTGGCACAGTCTTAGCTGTGCCGCTGTAAACCTATGAACAGGTCCTGGAGATGCCACCTGCCAGGTGGCATCTCCAGTCACTGCCTACGTGTTACGGTTTCTGTCTAGTTGTCCCCCCAAAGCCTCATGTAGTTCTGGGGTGGACTTCTAGAGTTTGTGATTAATTCATGATCCAGTGCTGGGATTATGGGTGTGAGTGCTGCTGGGATTATGGGTGTGAGAGCTGCTGGGATTGTGGGTGTGAGTGCCACTGGGATTATGGGTGTGAGTGCTACACCTAGCCTGGGGCAGATAGCCTAAATGCAACATGAGGGAGACAGACTTATTCTCTGTTGCCAGTTTGTTGCTGCTATTCTATTCTTTTGCTTTTGCTCTTACTATTTTGTTGTTTTCTGCTGCCATGAACTGCTGCCCTCTGCCATGTGCCACTCTGTCTTGGAGCCAGCTGAGTATGGACTGAAACCTCCACTAACTGTGACCTAAATAAACCCTTTCTTCCTTAATTTGGAGTGTTGGGTATTTTGTCCCAGCAATGAATGAAAAGTAACTGAGACACTATGGTACGCAGCTGTGGAATCCTCTGTCTGCACGGCGGGGGCAGGTCTGAGGCTGCCATCATGACTAGGATCGCCCTGGTCATGTGCTAGATGATCAAGAGATGCCAGGATTAGCCACACACGGGGAGGCCACCAACAGCCACCCGGCCTTGCCAGGATCTCCTAACTCAGCGGGGGCTTTCCTGAGGCACGAGCTTCGCCTGTTGCACTGCCGCTTCCATCCTTTTCCTCGGATCCTCTCCAGTGAAATCAAAATGAAGCAGTCATCAGGGCAGACAGGGCAGACAGGCTCACAAGTGTGCCTTCGGCTTCGAGGCTGTTTGTGCGACATAGGTTGTCCCTAAACAGCGGATCTCCGAGGGTGCCCCTGACTCTAGAGCACTCGCTAAAGGGGGTAAGAAGGAGATCATTTTTATGGAAATAAATAATAACTATGAGGAAAACATCCTTTCTAGTAAAACACAGGCTTGACTAAATGAGCTAAGGAGTAGGAGCAGGGTCCCTGGGGCAATGCTTCCCCCACTTAATTTAAAATCCTTCAAAGCTTCAAGCTAGACAGCCCTCCAGGTGGAGGGCTCCGCAATGTTGTTAGCTTCTACTTGCGGGCCATAAACGTTTTGTGGCATTATAAACGCATAGAGCGCCTTCGTCCGTAAATGCACGTGCCACAAGCTCCCCGTAGGATGGGCTGGAGACTCCTGGCGGCACAGCCCTGTCCGGCAGGCAGCTCCCATCCATCCCAGGAGGTGCCGGCACCATCCGATGCAGAGCCCTGAAGCTCACCGCTGAGGCAGGGCACTTGCTGCCCTATTTTGTTGCTTGTTAGAAGAGATGCCTTTTCTCCAGAAATCGAGACATTATCAGGCTACTCTCAACTCCTGAACACAAGCATGTTTTTTATTCAGATACCCACTGTGGTCCTAAATAACACCTGCTAAAATCCCCCAGTCTCCTGCCTCTCAATTCAGTCTAGCAGTTTATTGCTAGAGTGGCCTAACTCTGGCTGGGCAGGTCAGTGTCTTTCTACTCTGGGTTCAGCATGATGATTCCTGACAACCCCTGTCCCTGTCAGCTGCATCCTGGACAAGGATGGGTTGTGACCACCTGCCCTGGAGCACTAGCCTTGTGTCGTCTGCACTGGTCCGTGGCTCTCACCTAAATGTGCCAGGTATACTCCAGCCTGTGAGGCTGAGCTCTGGCCTGAGAGTTGAAGCTGACTCTGTGTGTGTGTGTGTGTGTGTGTGTGTGTGTGTGTGTGTGTGTGTTACTGGGAATTGAACCCAGGAAGTGCTGGGCTGCATCCTCAACCTTCTTTAAAATTTTGTTTTGAGACAGGGTCTCATTGAGTCACCAAGCCTGGCCTAAAAATTCCAGTCTCAGCCTCCCAAGTAGCTGGGATTACAGCTGCTATACCCAGCTTAAAGCTGATTTTGCCTAGGTGACAAGGGAGACTTTATTTTAAAGAACAAAAGGTAGCTGTTTGGAATGCCAGACTTGGTCAGGACAGCTGCCTTGAGGCCCCATCCTCTGCAAAATGCTGCCTTGGCCATGTGTGGGATCCAGGGCCTAGCCAGTATCTGTACCCACCACTTGAAGTTCTTGTCCACTTTCTAGGTTGCTCCCGACATTTTCCAGGTTTCCTCCTCTGACCCTGAAAATTGTTAGGCCAGTGGGAAGACTTTAGCCTCCGAGTGTTGCTCCCCGCATCAGTCCCCTGTGTACACTGTGGGCTGACCTTGTGCCACTCTGGGAGGAAGAGCAGATGCCAGAGCATCCATTAGAAACACTTGCAAACATCTGAGCTTCCCATGTGGTGAGAAAGCATCTGTTCAAAATGGGTGGGAGAGCGCACCAAGCCTCAAGGATGGGACGCCTTTGTGGGCAGATGTGAGTGGAAGGAGAGCTCCTCCTTTTTGTTGAGGAGCTTCATTAGATTTTCCAGGAACAACATCAACTGACACATTTATATAGTCCAGAGCCTCACAAGAGCATATCACAGCAAGGTTTTCAAGGCTTATTAAGTGTGTATGTGTGCAACCCTGTGTGTTTGTGTGGATAGTGTGTGTTTCTGTGTATGCACTTACTATCCAGGGGTAGTCTGTGTGCCTGGGGAGTCTGTGTGTGATAAGTGCACATGGTTAGTGTGTATGCTTGTGTGCACGGTGTGTTTACGTGTACACATACACACATGGGGTGCAGGAGGACAAAGAATGACTTGAATACCTGGAGGACTGGTGCACTTCCTTTCATTCCTCTGGACTTCTCATAATCCCCTTATTAGATGACCAGTGTGAAGCCCCAGGTATTGTCAGCTCAGACCACTGGTATGTCACCTCAGCTGCCACTGTCTGCAATGGTCCAATTTTGACTCACCGAGGAAGAAAGAGATCTAAAAAGAATTTAAATGTCCAGCCTGCCACTGAGTCCACAAATCATTATTTTTAGGCATGGGACCTGGGCATCCAGGTTTCCTAAAGCCAATGCATGGCCAAAGGTGCAGATCACTGAGCCAAAGATCTTTGCTCAGAAAATCCACACTTCATAAAGAAGTGCAAATTGACAACTGCGTGTCTTTTTGGACTTGAGTCACTGGCAATAGTTCAGTGAGAACTCGGTTGGCAGTGGGAGAGGCTGCTCGTTCCTATACAGGCTTGAGGAGCAGGAAGGGTGCACGGATGGAAGTGCCGCTTCATGAGCCCTATGGGGCAGAAGCCATCTGTCATCCCTCCTTTCCTCTCGCTCTGCTCCCTCCCTTCATCTGCTTACAGATAACTTTCCAAGGTGAACCAACCTCAATCTCTGCCTTCAGTATAGAAGGGGAGACAAGATACATCAGTCTATGACAAGCTAGAGGAAAGACGATATGCTGGGAGATAATAAGAGCCAGGAGCTGTTTTTAGGAATTTACTTCCCTATTTTATTTTCTTTCTTTCTTGCCAGAACTGGGGATTGAACTCAGGCCTTTGCACTTGCCAGGCAAGTGCTTATTCTACTAAGCTATCTCCCCAGCCCCAAAGAAATGATAACTTTTGTTTTTGTAAATAGCTATTTATATCTTCTTTTTTTTTTTTTTTCAGACCCGGGGATTGAACTCAGGCCCTTGCGCTTGCCAGGAAAGCGCTTATTCCACTGAGCTGCCTCCCTGGCCCTTCCTGCCCTATTTTCTTATTCTCACCTCTGTGGAAGGTTTTTCTTGTGTGGTTTGTGAGGCTCAGAGAGGTGGACAGCTGGCCCAAGGTCTAAGGCAGACTGAGACTGAAGCTTCCTGGGTTCTCTTCTGGAAAAATAAGTGTGTACGAATTGGTGGAAAAGGTCTAAGATGAGTGTGTAGTAGGTAAAGTGGAGGAGCTGTTCTAAACAGATATTAAAACATACTAAGAAGCTACCATTATAAAAAAAATTTTTGTTTTGGACAAGACGGAGATATTGCTGGATTGGCCTTGAAAGTCCAAAAGCAGTACCCACTACATCCGGGAATTTCTGCAGAGATGAAGAAGAGGCCGGCATTTGCCTGTTGCTGCTCAGTTCCCGCTCTCACCTGTGTTTTGGGGAGTCAGGGCCCCTACAACCCACATTTCCCAAACACCCCAGCTGACCAACTGGAGGGTCTGGGAGGAAGGAAAGGTCGTCTTCCAGCTTCCAGGTCTGGTGATACTTCTAAGTAGGGGCCTGCCTCTGGTGGCAACCCTTACCTGTGGTTCTAGCACCCATTTAACTGGCTTCTTGCCTGTGGCCAGGTGGTCTCTAAACTGCCTGCTGGGCCCTTTGGTAATTCCAGTGCCTAAGAGGTGCCCCAGCCCCACCCGCCCCCCAGGGTGGGGAGCCCATTCGTGGCTTTTTCCTATTGCTGCCCAGCCTGAGCAGCTATTTCTGCCCTTCTTGTTTTTAGTCCCTTATTTTATTTTATTTTTAAATTTTTTTTGATGATTAGAGGAGTTAATCTCCATCACAACATTTTATTGTTTCTGATACAGCAGTCAGGATCTTCAAAAAACAAGGGCAGAACTAGAAGTACAATCAAAGCTTCTGCATCTTAAGCCTTTTAGTCCTAAAACTGAGTTAAGTAAGGCAAAGCAACTTTCCTCCAAACTAAATAGGTCTCCAGTATTCCACTTCGCTGAGCTTTCAAACACCAAGTGCTTAGGACATAATACATAGCCACATGGTTGTGGCTGCGTTAATTATGCCTGAAGAGCTTAATACCCATCCAGGTCCAGAGGTAGAAGAACACATACTCTGGAATGGTGATGGGCAAGAGCAGACTGTAAAAGCAAAGGCTGGCTGTACTGTGCAGCCCTGTGGGAAAGTCTTCCTGCATAGAGGCTGAGAACAGACCTGCTAAGGAGCTCAGTGGAATAAGCACAGTCAGAGGAGGCAGAGACAGAAACATTCTTCCTCCTCGCTCACAAACCCCTGCGGCCCTGTTTTAAAGTGTATATAAGAATTAAGAAAATGTAGCAGTGTTTTTTTTTTTTTTTTTAAAAAAAAAAACGTTGATTCAGTGCTGCTCTGTTTCTTCTTGTTTCGTCTGTGGACGCGTTGCTCCTGCTGCTTGTGGTACCGTGTTAGGAATCCCATCAATGATCGGATAAGCTATCCCCAGCTCTTCATTGATCAGTCCATTTGTGGATGCTTCATATCGGAGCGGTATCTTGGAGAGCGCGCACACCAGGAACTCCCACAGCGCGGGGTCGTAGGCGCGGAGCCCCCCAGCTGCGCGCAGGGCCCGGGGCACCACCACCCACGGAGGCGCGCACGTCCCCGGCACGACCCTCCAGCCCAGCCGGCCCAGCATGGTCCCTAGCCCCTTATTTTAAAATTCCTCTGTGTCAAATGCATCTTGAAGTTGCTCTTTTCCTAGCTGAGCCCCAGTGCATAAAAGATGTTTCCGGTACTTACAGAAAGGATTGAGCAACCTTATACTGTAAATAAGGTTGGGACAACCCGCTGATCTTCTCAGATAAAGTTTGTGTTTTCGTTTACTCCTTTTTCTCCTGTGTTTAATTGCTCACCCTATTTAGTTGGTTGCTTCCGATCTCATTTGTGGGGTTTTGATCGTTTTGTTCCCTCTCTAGAACATCTTTCAGTAGCCTGTGTAAGGTTGGCTTTGTCATCACGAAATTCTTTAGCTGTTCTTTGTCATGGAAGTATTTCACT